TGTAATTCTTTATAGAAGATTGGCTTAGGTTTCACTTTTCACAATGGGAGAAAAGAAAAGATTGAATAAGCTCTATTCTGTTATAGAAGAGCAAGTTAAATAGCAGGATCTACTTACTGAGTTGTGTGAATATCTATTTTTTAAATGTGGAATATCTTCAGGAGCTTATCCTTCTTTACTCAGAGAGATTATTTTCCCAGTGATTCACTGAAGGTTTTTGCAGTTTTTGCAAAGCTTTATGAATATTGGTAGCATCATCCAGATTACCATACGGACTCTTCTCAGCTGCTAAATATCTTCAGCAGTCAACTCATGCGCAATATTGCTCAAAGGAATATTCTGTGGATAGACCTCAGGGTCATGATTTTGGCTTTGCAAATACTTACCCAATCTTCAAAGGGAGTATGCAGATCCTCCTCTGTACATGTAAATGCAAACACAGCAATATTCTTGTTTTCTTTAAAAAAATTAAATAGCTTTTGGAAATATAATCTACATTTCATCAAATTTTGCCCATTTTATGATGCAATTGAATGACACTTAGTAAATTTACAGAGTTGTCCAAATCAGCACAATTTAATTTTAGATTATTATCATTACCTTAGAAAGATCCCGTTAGCCTAGTTGAAGTCATTCCCTGTTTATACTCTCAGCTGCAAGCAGACAATAATATACTTTCTATCTCTATATAAAGATTTGTATTTTCTGAACATTTTATATGAACGAAATTATATGCTATATGATTTCGTGTATGACTTATTTTACTTGCTCACTTATTTATTCACTAAGTAGTGATTTTGAATTCCATTCAAATGGTGGTTTATATCAGGACTTTGTTCCTGTTATCACTGAAGAGTATTCCATTATATGGATAGGTCACATTTTGTTTGTCCATCCACCAGCTGATGGGTTGTTTCTACTTTTTGGTTACTTCTTCTTATTGTTATTTTTTCATAAGGCAGGTCATACTTTAGGACATTTTATTTTATTTTATTTTTAAGAGAGGTTTTTGCTACAGGGCGCATGTGCTTGCCAGAGAGACAGAGACAGAAAATGAGAAATCACTCCCCAAACGGGGATGGCCACACCACAATCCCTTCTCCTCCATTCTTCTCTCAGGATCTTGGGCATGCATGCACATAAGCCAAGTGTGAGTTTTAAGGCACCGGGTCTAGGATTTGAACTGCAGTCAACTATGTGGGAGCCCAGCAATGTAACTCTTATGTCATCTTCTGGTTTCTTTTTAAAATTTTATTCTATTTTATTTTTTTGGAAGGGAGATTTTGCTCTGAGGTACATGTGCTCACCTGAGAATCAGAAAGAGACAAAAAGAAAGCAAGAAATCACCCCTCAGGGAAGATGGCCATACCGCAATCCATTCTCCTCCATTCTCTTCTTGGGATCTTGGGCATGCATGTAACACACACTCAGTGTGAGTTTTAAGCCACCGGGTCTGGGACTCAAACCACGATGACTACATGGGAGTCCAGTGAAGTAACCATGATGCCATTTGCTGGTCCTACTCTTGTTTTTTATTTTTTTTTTTTAAAGAATTACTTTATTGAGTTAATTTTACTTCTTCTTATTATGTTTTAATTTGACCACAGAGACACAGAGAAAGAAGGGGAAAGTGAGAAAATAAGCCACCGGGTCTGGGTCTCAAACCACTGTCAGCCATGTGAGAGTTCAGCAGCCTAACCACCACTCCACCTGCCAGCCCCATGAATAATTCCTGGAATATGTGGAGATGATTTCATTTCTCATGTGTGGATATCTAAGAGTAGGATGGCTGTGATATGGATTAGTTTAACATTTTAAGAAATTATAAAAGTGTCTCCTAAGGTGACTTCTAAGGTGATGTTCTAAGGTGACATTTATATTTTTTTTAAGAGGTTTTTGCTATAGGGCACATGCACTTGCTAGACAGATTGAGAGAGACAGAGGGACAGAAAACGAGAAATAACCCCCCAGAGGGGATGGTCATGCCGCAATCCCTTCTCCTCCATTCTCCTCTCAGGATCTTGGGCACACACGCACACGCGCCGGCGTGAGTTTTAAGCCACCAGGTCCGGGATGCGAACCGTGGTCGACTATGTGGGAGTCCAGCGACATAGCCATTACGCTAACTGCTGGTCCCAGTGACATTTTATATTCTGAAACACAACATAATAAGGTTCAGATTTTTATTTTCACCAACATGCTTTACTGTCCTTTTAAAAAAAATTGTAGTCATTCTAGTGGAAATGAAATAGTATCTCATTGTTTCAATTTACATTGGTGGTATGCATTTCTAATACCCTTTGCCTTCTACTACATATTAAGCCCAGGATGACACATTTATTTATTCATTCAGCTGCAAATATGGGTTGAAATAAGACTCTATCTTAGGTAGTGTTACAGGAGTTACAAAGGATAACAAACAAATTATATTAGACCCATAGAATTTATACTAGTAGAGTTTATAACCGTAGGATTTATAGTGGGAGAAAACAGAAATGAATAAAAGAACTAATATATGTAAAAAGGATATATGTGATAAGTGCTAATTTTATGTGTGTGTGGGAGGGAGAGAGAGAAAGAGGAAAAGAGGAAGGAACGGTGAAAAAGAAATAAAAAGAAGGGAGGAAAGGAGAGAGAGGGAGAAGGTGAGGAGAACACAAATAATGTTATACAAATTTGTAAGTGTGAAAAATATTCATGTTCTTATCCACAAGGCCAAGTCCACTTGAGTAAATGAAAATTGATTTAAGATGTAAAGTTCAAAAAGGAATTCACCTAAATGAAGATGTGAGAAAAAATCCTATCATTCAGGATTTGCATTTTCAATGAAAATAGACAGGTCAAGAGGATGGTATGTGTGGGTAGCAGTGTCAGTAGAATATTCCAAGTTATCAAAGGCAATTCTCTTGAATTAGCAACTACTGCTATCAGTCACCAATATGCATAATGTTCCCCAAATGTGACTTTTTTTTCTAAGAGACTAAAGATTGATATGGTGTGTACAGTCAGAAAGCGAAATACATCCAGCCAGAATGATGAGAACTTTGTTTATTAAAAAAATAATTAAAATGTGTTGAAGATATGTTTGATCATGTTAAAAACAGACACCAGAATGCAATGAGGAGAGTAGATTTAGGATGAGCAAGACTGAGCCAGGGAGATGGTTAATAAACTATTATTAGAAACAGTACATTCTTAAGTTTAGAAAAGAAGATGCGGAGAGATTCTACCTACAGGTTTTCTTTTATTTGACAATTTCTAACTTATCTGGAGTTATATTCAGAGAACATAGAAACAGGAAAAAAGAAACAGTAATATTGAGAAATATAGTCAGAAATGTTTAAATTCTTTTTGGTTGTTTAGTCATGCCATAGACTGTAATGAAGTAGTGATCCCTTTATCCTCGGACATATTTTAGCAGATACTGAAAAGTCATTCTAGTAGAATTATAATAATTCAGAAATGGAAGTAACTGGAATGATCATCTAGCCAAGCATGATGTCAAATGCTAAATGATTAGGATTTATTTAAGATTTTCTTCCTGCTTTTATGGTTTCAAATGAACTTGGAAGACAATGACAAATGAACAAATGATTTTGAAAGAATGCCATGAATTTCATCTTACTTTTAAAGTCAACATTGATCTTTTGAAGTGAAATCTGTGCTTCTTCCTTTGTCATTTTATGATGTTGGACAAAATACTTAGCCTATGCCCAAGCCCTGATTTTCAGTTCATTAAAACAGGCATGATAAGATTGCCTTTGTATGAGCATGGTAACTGCACGTGGTAGACAGATGTTAATTGTATGGACTGCCCAACAACACTTTCAAAAAGATTGTTCCACTAGTATAATGATAACCTATAGCATATGATCATTATTATTAAAGAACTTCAAATTTTAAGATGAAATTTTCCTAATACTGTTTCATTTTAGAGATTTGACAGTGAATAAAAAAGCTGTTTTTGGGACCGGCAGATGCTGTCATGGTAATGTTACTGGACTCCCACGAAGTCAACCGTGGTTCAAGTCTTGGACCAGGTGGCTTAAAACTCGCACCAGGTCTGTGTGCATGTGGGCTCCAAATCTCAAGAGGATAATGGAGGAGAAAGGATTGCAGCATGGCCATCAATCCCCATGGGGGGGGGGTGATTTCTTGCGCCTCTGTCTTTCTGTCTCTTCAGCAAGCGCATGTGTCCTATAGCAAAAATCTCTCAAAAAAAGAAAAGTCAATAGCCAATTTTTACTCTGTACAAGTCTAGGTTGTATGGATATGATAAACTTTATATATCTCAATAAATAAAAGATGATTCTTGTTTATTGTGTCATTCTCAAGAGAATTTAGGAGGGGCTGAGGAATCGCTTAAATGATTCAGGTTTCAAACTAAGATGTACTAATAAAAGAAACAAAAATAAAAATAAGGGGCATTACATGGGAAATTTCTTCTGTTAAATTTTCAGCCTGAAAATATCTCACCACCTCCACTCTTGTTTCATTGGCCAAAACAAATCAGGTGAGCACATCACTGTAACTTAAAAGGGACTAAGAGTCTTAGATTTGCTTAGCAGATGCTCCAGAAGCACATTTTTTTTCCCCTTTGGAGAGGTTTTTGCTATAGGGCGCGTGTGCTCACCAGAGAGACAGAGAGACAGAGAGACAGAAAGCGAGAAATCACCCCCCGGGGGAATGGCCATGCCACAATCCCTTCTTCATTCTCCTCTCGGGATCTTGGGCATGCACACACACGTGCCCGGTGTGAGTTTAAGCCACCGGGTCCAGGACTTGAACCATGGTCAATACATGGGAGTCCAGCAACATAGCCATTATGTGAACTGCTGGTCCCCAGAAACACTTTTTGAGCAGCACTGTTGAGTATAATAAATCTTGAAATTCTTTATCATGTAACTAGATAATCTATGTAAGAATTTCTTTTCTTTCTTTCCTTTTTTTCTTTTTTTCCTTGTTTCCACGTTATTGCTCAAGCATGGAACTTGAACTGAAAAAATATGGAACGCTTCACAAATTTGTGTATCACCCTTGCACAGGGACCATACTAATCTTTTCTGTATCATTTCAATTTTAGTATACGTGCTGGCAAAGCAAGCACTCTTTTCTTTTTTCTTAACATTTGTCACAGGATATGTGTGCTCTCCAGTAAGAGACAGCAGAGAGAGGGAGAAATGAGAAAGCAGCCCTCTGGGGAATGGTCACACCACAATCTCTTCTGTTCCATCTCTCCCTCCTTCTAGATATTGGGCACATGTATATGTGTCCAGTATGTCTGCAACTTGAACCTCACAGTTGGCCATGTGGGATCCAGCTGCCTTAACCACCATGCCACAAGCTGACCCTGACTATGTAAGAATTTCAGAACCACGTCCATTAACATTAGCTTATCGATCCTTTCTATCTTATGAAAAGTGGTTGATAGTATAGAAGCCAGTAACAATGACTGCTTCAGAGGTTTTCAGATTTCCAGGAGAGTATGTGAGGTTATGGCTAGCTACAATTCATTCGCAAGCAGAGGAGGTCAAAGAGTGCCATTAGAAGGAATTAATGTGTGCCTTGAAACTTCACAGATGAAAAAAACTGCTATCTGAAACACAACTGGAAAGTTAAAAACAAGTACCTAAAGATGTCTCCATCTTTTGATAGAATAAAGAGATGATAGTGTTAAGAAGTTGCAGTTTCACCAGTAGCAGAACAGTTTTGTATGTTGTTACATGCAGAGATAGATCCTACCTATAGATCTATCTCTGCCGACTTGGTATCAGGGCAGTAATGGGTAGACTTTGTGGTACAGGGACTAAATTTCCAACCTAAGTACATTTCCAAAGTCAATTTTTTTAGAATTATTTTATTTAACTTTATGTATTTAATTTATTTTAATTTGACCAGAGAGGGACAAAGTAAGAGAGAGAGAGAGAGATAGAGAGAGAGAGAAAATGAGAAAGCAAGCCACAAGATCTGGGACTCGAACTGCAGTTGGCTATGTGGGAGTCCAGTGCCCATAACCACCATGCCACCTGTCAGCCCCAATAAATCTTTTTTAAAATAATAATTCTTTTTTATTTATATTTAATTACTGTGCATATTTACAGCATACAAAATGGTTTTTCCCAGCATGAATACAACGCATTTCAGTCAAGTCATAGATATTACTATGTACATTATCATCAAAGAAATCATACTTTGGTATGTATACTTTTGTATCCCACAAAGACATACATTGAATATGCATAAACTAGAAATCATAATTAATTTTTTTGGGGGGAGAGGTTTTCACTGTAGGGTGCGTGCGCTCACCAGAAAGACAGAGAGAGACAGAGAGATAGAAAGCAAGAAATCACCCCCCAGGGAGGATGGCCATGCCACAATCCCTTCTCCTCCATTCTCCTCTTGGTATCTTGGGCATGCACGTACACGTGCCCCGTGTGAGTTTAAGCCGCCGGGTCCAGGACTTGAACCACCGTTGACTACTTGCGAGTCCAATGACATAGCCATTACGCTAACTGCTGATCCCAATTAAAATATTTTTAAATGAAAATTTTAAAATGTTCAACATAAAAGAAAGAAATCTTGTCCTAGTATGACAGAGGTAGAAGTCTAAAAGTGGAGTTGGAGACTTTTTAGGGAAAGGCACCATTTATGTCAAATGAATTAAAGTTGGAATTTGCCAATGGAAGAATCTTTGAGAAACATATGAAAAATTCAATAAGAAAAAGTACCAGCAGTTTCCATCTTCCTCTCACAGAGTACCGCAAACAGGTTACAGAAATTTCCACCATGCAAGATTAGGCTTTCTTCCCTAATCCATGTATTCCCTGAAATAATTCATCTCTGATAATATTAATCTAATATCAATTGTATTTGGTATTATATAAACATTCCTACTTCCTTATGGTATTAAAATAATCATACTGAATATCTTATGATTAGAGTTTTCCTGATTTTTGTAATTCTTTTTTTTTTTATAATTATATTTGTAAGCCTCTACAGTTTTATAATTAAAAAGAAATTGGGGGTAGTTAGAATTTTATTGATTCATTTAATTTAGTGATGCAAATCTGCCTTTTTAGTTGAAGGTTTCTGTCTATTTTTAAATATAATGTTTAACAATGTTACCTTTAAGTTAACCATTTTATAATTTGTATCTATTTGTTCTCTCTGTTTTATTTTCTCTCTCTTAAACTGCCTTCTTTAGGATTAATTGACTATTTTTGTGCTCCAGTTTATGTCTTTTGTTAACATATTAGCAATAATTCATATAGCATTTTTGTTATTGTCAATGGTCTGGGGATAATATTTATTGTTAACTTATCTTTTTTTTTTTCTCTTAAGAGAGATCTTTGCTATAGGGTGTATGTGCTCACTGAAAAGACAGAGACAGAAAACAAGAAGCCCCCCCCCCCGGGGGTGGGGGATGGCCATACCACAATCCCTTCTCCTCTGTTCTCATCTTGGGATTTTTGGCATACACGCACATGTGCCTGGAGTGAGTTTTAAGCCCCCAGGTCCAGGATTCAAACCATGGCCAACTACATGGAAGTCCAACAATGTACCATTACTCCATCAGCTGGTCCCAGTCTTACATTAACTGATATTGTACTACTTTGAATATAATGTAAAAAATGTTATAATGATTTTCTCAGAATCACTTTTTGCTATCATTATCTTACATTACAATTTGTTTCTATATATTATAAAGCCACAATTCAGTTATTTTTTAATGCACACACTCCATATTCATTTTTAAAAATTTTCTGAATGATTAAAAAAACCTACTATTTTTAGTTTCTTATATATTGTTGTCACTTTTTGTTTCTGTTTAGATTCATGTTTCTATTTGAAATAATTTACCATCAAGCTGAATAACTTCTTTAATATATCATCAGTGCAATCCTATTGGTAACACAATTTTCTATTTATCCATTCTTTATGTTTTTTCCCCCCACCTTTTTTTACCTTCTGATTTTTTAATTATAAATAAATATACAATTTTGAGGTTTATTTTTGTTTGTTTGTTTTGACAGTCTATTTTTCTCTTCATACTTTTGTTTACATAATTACCTTTTTAATGTTTTTATGTTCCCAGATATTTTCTTCCTGAATACTCTGTTGTTAAGGCCATTCAAATTTTTTCTAAACTGCATAACACCCATATATTTTTAAATATATATATTCTTTTATTTCACTTATTATGCTTATTTTTCCTTTGAGTGCTTAAATCTGATTATGATTTTTATAATATTTTTAAGTGTTGTGTCATCAACTGTCATTTCCATGTTTATTTCTACTGATTAACTTTACTCTTGGTTCTAGGTCACCTATTTTGTTTTTTCTCATGAGTTGTGATTTTGAGTGTTGGACACCAAAACTGACTTGTTGATATCTGAGTTTTTTTTTATAGTTTTACATCTTGAGTTTTGACAGCAGTTCTTTGAATTTCAGACAAGCTTTAGTTTGTTGGAGGATCATTTTTAAAAACACATATAGGGCATATCTAGAGTAGCCATTATCCTAGGGTTAGTTTATCCCTACTCTTACAGTCTTTATGGTTTTTCTCCTGAATGACTTGTGTCCAGAGAGGTCTCTTCACTCTAGATGGTCAGAACTCAAATATTTCCAAATCCTGGAATGGTTACAATAGTTGTTCAGCTTATAGCTCCCCAGTAGGTATTTTATCCCCAGTAGTTATTCTTTCCAGGTCATTTAAGGTCTCATCCTATGCATGTATAACTTTCTATTCTCTTTTTTTTCTGTGAAGCTTCTTGCTCTCTGGTACTCAGTCCTACAAATTTCAGCCACTTCACCATTATCAAACTCTCATCATTGTCCCTTCAGCTCAACATGACCATCCTTCTCTTTAACTTCACTTGACTTGAGAGTTTTAACATTATATTAAATTATGTTTTCTTTAATATCAAAATAATATGCCTCCTGTCATTAAAACTAGATTATAGAATGCACCCATATTTTTTTCAAGGACAAGAAGGAACAAATGAGTGGGCTACATTGACTATCTTTTGGTAAGAAAGAGTAGATGTGTATTATGCACATTATATTTGCTATATTTGTTCAATCCAACATTAAGTGCAATAACAAAACCTTAGAAAAGCAAGGCTAGAATCATGGATCACAGAAAGATATAAATATGGAGTTTGGAAAGGGAAAGTTGTATGTTCATCTTAGAAAAATCTTGATTCACCCTTGAAGAAAAGAGATGGCATAAAAGAAAGTAATGAGCTGTTCATTGATGAATGATATGTATCTTGAAGTGGCAGGGATAAAATTTCTTATACGATACCTACAATTTCCCTCATAATTGTTGGCATTTTGTGTTTTCAATCAGTAGAAACGCATACATGTGAAGATTCTGTGATGAGGAAAATGAGGCCTTAAGACAAAAATAAAGAGCTAGACATCTATCAAATGATATCAATGAACTTAAACCATTTAAAAAAAAATGGCTTGAACATTAAGATAATAGTGGAAATTCTATGCACACTAGGTATACAATGTACCTACCATGTACACAATCTAATGCTAAGAACTGAAGACACAGAAATGTACATGATTACCAGGTAGTCTTCTTCTAGGAATCATCATTCCTGGGGAGTTTCTAAACCTGGTTTATAACTGTAGCATTTTTTCTGATGGTTCTTAGCTTTTTCTTAAATGCCATATAAAGGTATTAATTCATATGGACTTGCTTTTGATTATGAAACTTTGAAATTAAGATCTAGATTACCAAAACCGTTGACTGATGAATTTATGATCTTGTAGGTGAGACATTTGCTTGCATACTATTTTATTTTGCATCCGGATAGATTAAGAACCTGATATACTGGGCCAGTCCATGTCCTGGTGGTTAAGGTGACTGGATCCCACACGGCTGACTGCATGGTTTGAGTACTGAACCCGGTGACTTGAAAAACAGACCTGTGCCCAAAATCCTGAAAAGGAGAGATGGAGGAGAAGGGTTTGTAGTGCTACCATTGCCCATGGTGAAGTATGAAATCTAAATATTTTTAAATGATTACAGCTTTTGGCTTTATTTCAAGCATAATTGATAATCTTACATCCAGTAATAGCCACTATTATTTT